TTCTCTTCAAATGATTTTGCAATACAGACCCTATATAATATAGATGAAAAGAGACATTTCAAGGGACAAGACCTCAATTCTAGGTACAACAACCAGCAATCTGATGCTGCTGGCTACTACAAAAGAAAGCAAATCATGTCGCTGTGCAGGTGCAATGTACCGGATGTAAAAAAAAATGAACAAACAGGTCATGAGAAATATATGTTGGCTGCTACTGCCAGCCTCCTTTTTACTAGTAGCCCGGCATACCGATTCCCCCTAATTTCACTGTCTCACTTCTCTATTGCTCTCACTTCCAACCAGCTGCACAATTTTTCCAGGTCTCTAACTTTGAACGAATCTAGATGAGTGTTTTTAACAATTCTGATAAAGATCAACCTGTGCATATTCTGTCCTCATCTGCAAAGTATTCCCAAATGGAAACTCAGCAGTTTCTACTATTTTGCACCATAAATCATTACCAAACGTGGGTCCTTGTTGCTAAAGGGACTCAGAAGACCTTTTATTGTTTTTAATCTAGATATAAATGTGATCAGATAAATGTAAATGATTTAAGAAATGTGTCTACATGCTCTATAAACCTTGCATACATCTTATATACTGTGATAAATGTACACAGGGGAAGCTGTATATGCCCATTACATGTGCATGCTGTGCTTTCCGTTCTCTCCGTGCAAGTCTGTACACAGACCTCTGTCTGTAAACTTTAAGTGAAAAATCTTTAGGTTGCTTATCCCGACAAAGTAAAACTATGAGCTATTCAAAAAAATATATTCTGTGTTGTAGCAAATAAAATGTGTCTGCACTTCATTTTTCCCGTGTCATAATTCAGTCTTACAAATACATGTTGATTCTGGCATTATGACATTCATCTTATGCAGTGGCCTCCTAAGAACAACAACAATGCTGCACTGCTCCTGAAATCAAAGCAGCATTGCCAACCTCATATATGTTGCTCACACTGTGGTGTGATGATGAGTGTGGGGATCAGCATTGTCTTTGTTGATTCACAAGCCTATAGCTTATCAATCAACAGCTGGCAACACCTAACCCAGCCCACTGATTTTTGGATTGACAACACTGCCTCTGGTGCCAAAACCTTACCACTGTGATCTTCAGTATCTGAGAGTGGAGCATGTGAGACACAAAAGAGAACTGGGCTCAGTCACAGAGGGCAAAGGATTTTGTTTTGGTACATTATGGGTCTTGTGTGTCATATAGTAACTGGATTTAAGACAGGTTTAGACTCTCTTACAGGAGCCTTTAACTTGATCTTAACATTGGCTTAACAAGGGTTCTGGCTTGACATTCAGATTGCCTCTAGATGGGAAGTCTACAAAGAGAAACTATTTCATTACATTATCAATTATAAAATAATGTGGGAAGCAAGAAAGTAAACATACAAATTATCAAATATTATTCCCAGTTAAATGTTACAAAGAAACTCAAAACATTCAACGAAAATACACTTTAGTTTCTCATTAACCCCTTCGTGACGGGAGACGTACACTGTACGTCCAGCCACAAAGGGACCAAATGACTTGTCACGTACACTGTACGTGACGAGTTATTTGCTGCTTTAGAGGGCTGTTAATCGCTGAGAATCAGCTTTTAACATTCATTAATGTATGCCCTTACTACAGAGGCATTCATTAATGAAAGGGTTAACCTTTTTCAGACACCCGATACCTTAATATCGGGTGTCTGAGAGTCAAAGCAAAGCGGACACAGATGCCGGCTTTTGCCGGCATTCTGACAGCTCGTATAGATCGAGAGATATCTCTCTCAAGCTATACTGGCTTTTTTTTTTTTCTTTCATGAATAGATACAAAATGTGTCTATTCCTACAATGTATCTATTCCTGGAAGAAGAATGTTTGTTTGCTGATCGTTGTTGCAACAATCAGAAAACATTTAGTAACAGCTGAATCCTGAACTGCTGCAGGATCAGTGTCACTAACTTATTATCGGCTGTTCTGAAGTTTGAAGCAGCCTGATAATAACCAAAAATTTATTAATTTATCATGCAGTAACAGTGAGATTAATTCACAAAATCTGCTTGATATAATTAAATAAATAAAATAACATTTTTAAGTTAAAAAAAAAAGTGAAAAGTGTAAAAAAAAAAAAAAATTGTGAAAAGTGTAAAAAAAATAAAAAAATGTGTAAAAAATAAAATAAAATAAGGGACAAATAAATGAATGTATTTATTGCATTTTTTTAGCTGTGCTGGTTTTGTAAAAAAAATACTACAAATCAAAACTGGGAAAAAAGTGTTTTTTTAAACGGTTTTTTCCTCTTTTTTTATATTTTATTTGTCCTAAGTGAGGCGTTAGACGCACATATGTGATATAAATATGTAGCCCTATCTGTCCTCTAAAAAACAATATATAATATGTGTGGGTGCACTTTGTAAGAAAGTATATTACTGACGTGGAAGAATCACACAGCAAAAATGTCAAAAGTGTGTCAGTCATTTACGAACAGAAACTAAAAACAAGCTCAGTCATGAAGGGGTTAAAGAAGAATTCCCATGGAAAACGTCATTAACCCCTCCAGTGGGGCTACCCCTGCATTGCAAGGGTTAACCACTTATTTTTGTCTGAGTGCTAAAAAAAAAAAAAAACAAGTTATACTCACCTGAACTACTGAGCTGGCTCCCTGCTTCTCCATCCAGTGAAGCTTGCCTCCTCCTCCACTGTACAAATGGAATGTTCCTCAGCGTTCTCATGTCTATACACTTGTATAGAATGTGATGACACAAGGATTCTTAGACCACTGCAGAGGAGGGGGAGAGAAGCTCTAGGGACAGGTCTAAGAGCAAGCCGGCTCACACGATCAGGTGAGTATAACTTTTTTTTCAGTAACTACAGAAAAAACGAGCAGTTAACCCTTGCAGGACAGGGGAAGACTGCAAGGGCTAATAAAACTTTTCTCTGTAGTTCTTCTTTAAAAATATAACTTGTGAAGGTGATTTGTATTACAATAAAGCCTGTCATGAGAAAAATACAGTGGCTGCCATTGCCAACTGCCACCTGAAAATGCTAGCTGTCTGCCTGTCATGGTGATCCTCCAGTTTTAAGAATAACTTCTAAATCTTTGACCTAGAATAAGGAGACCAGGGAGTGCTTATTTCACTAGCTCTAAGCCTGTTCCATACCAGGGACTTACTCTGTAGTAAAGCACGGATGAGCATTACAGGTTCAGGGTCAGCAATTAACTCCTATGTACATCTTGCTACTTATTTACAAACCCAAAAATGTAAAAAAAATTAAACTTCAACTGCTTCTCTAAAATCCCTTGTGTCAAATGTACACAAATAAGGTGTTTGCAGCTCCTGAGAGAGATGGGATACAGAGGATTCCTGAGCTGTGTTATATATACATGCGAGTAGGATTGTGTTTTTAAGATTTTACCCTAAAGTGTAAGTGTAGCCAAATATTCTTTTTTTTTAGTTTTCCAGAGAGTAGTAGAGAAATCCCCAATCAGATTTTTTTGCTGTGTCCTGATGGGGAGATTTCCCTTCACGTCCCAAGTAGACAACAGAAAATGAGAGCCCAAAGGGAATAACCACCTTAGATAGTTATCAGAACCCCATTGGATAACAGTCAGGTCTCTTGCTCTGGTGACAGGACAAGACACATAGAAAACCCTTCCCTACTCTATCCAAACCTAAAATAAAAATGTTTGCCTTGAAAAATACATTTAATATACTGTAGTTCACTAATAGAGCTCCCCTTCTATCCTTTTAAGTATATCCGTTCACTAGCATTTTGATGTATTTGGATATATAGACTATGGATGTGTAAGGAGCGACCAGGGTTCCAGCATGGTTTTTGAAGTGAGAGAACATAAGGCGCTTTAAGACCTTCTTATAATTGAAAGGCCAATTTTTGGGGCCCCTCGCCCCTCGTGCAGTTTCATTTGATATGGGAACCCCTTATTATGAAGAATGTTTTGCTGCAGTTTTATTTGATATGTGAACATTTATTCATTAGGACTTCTTTGTATTTTATGTACATCATGTTGTTTTACATAGGGCACCTTATTTGACAAATGTGAGCAAGTGCAGCTCCCATAATTCTATTTTGTCAAGTTCCCTTGTCACAGAATTGCCCAAATTTCACCTAGATTGAATTTCATCAGGGATGCACCGAGTACCGATATTTTTTTTTGGTACTCGCCGATACCGAATACAGATATTGGAAGTCCCATTAAGGAAGCCGGGCAGCGTGTAATGGATCGCCGCCTGGCTTCCTGATTAGCCGGCAAGCGAGTCATTATCCACCCCACCAACGTCCTGATTAGCTGGGAAGCCGGTGTCGCGTGGGAAATTTCGACCCGTAACTCACTGCGACTTCTGGTCACGTTGCATACACAATGCTCAAAACCAGCTGACTGCAACAGCTGATTGGGTTCACATTCCTCGCGGTCAACTTCCGCGGTCGCACATTCCAAACTCCGATAGAACACCGTGAAGCCAGCTCCATGCTCTTTTGTCACCAGGTGACGAGGAAGCATGGAGCCAGCTTTCTAGCCAATCAGGATGCCGGGTAATGTCTCATCATCTGGCTTCCTGATACCGGATGTCCTGGTATCGGGATAAGCATAGGAGCATTTGTAATACTCGGTATCGGTGCATCCCTAAATTTCATAAAGTGTCTCCCGTGTGGGTGGTCCCTGACATACCACTAGCACAGGGCAGGACATCTGAAATGTGTGCCTTCAGGTCCTGGTCCGGCAGAGACCCCAGAACTGTGGATGGGATGGAAAGCCAAACTACATATTTTTATCTTAAGTGGAGGCCCCCTTTAGAGGAAACCTGTTCTAAAATAAATATAGAAGTTGCTATTGCGAACCTAAAAATGCCTGGCTGTCTTTGGCTTTTGTATTTCTCAGTTACCAATGATCTGTATACCTGTTCCACATCAATAACTTAGAAAGAACTGAAGCAACTGGATAAATATGACAGCCAGGCATTTTCCAAAGGACAGGTTTGGCAGTGGCATCCTCCATATTATCTCAGCTGGACAGGAAGTGATCTAGGAAGAGCCAATCTTCTCTCTGAGTCCGTAGAGAATTTCCATCTGTTTCCGTTTGTCCTTGGCACGGTTGATGACAATTTTCAGCAGCTGACAGTACAGTTCAATGGAATTCGGGCTATCATCGTTACCAGGCACCGGGTAGGTGATTAGGCTGGGGTTACAGTTGGTATCCACTATCCCTGCCGTCGGGATATTCATCTTGGCGGCATCACGGATGGCCACATGCTGCTCAAACACGGTGTTCAGGGTGTTGAGAAAGATGATGAGGTCCGGCAGACGAACACCTTTCCCATACTGGATGCTGGCGTTGGTCAGCAGGCCGCCCTGCCAGAAGCGCGTGTGGGCATATTCCCCGCACTCCTTTGCTAGGGTCTCCACCGTGTGGGTGAATTGACGGCGGCGGCTCACAAACAGAATGACTCCCTTGCGGTAAGCGACGTGAGCGGTAAAATTCAGCATTAGCCAGAGGTGCTCCAGAGTCTTGTCCAGATCAACGATATCCTGATCAAGACGGCATCCGAAGATGTACGGCTCCATCAGCCTGGGAGGGGGAGAGGGAGATCAGGACAAATTAGGATTTTACGGAGCCGCATTAGCACTGCACAAAATACAATTTCCTTCTGTGAAAGGCATCTACTACCTATGGTTTCCTCTGACTGCCAGGACCTATGTGCAGAGATTTAAAAGAAGAATTCTAGGCAAAAAAAATAAATGGTCCGTGCAAATAATATATAATTTCGTAATTAACTGCATTTTAAAATAGTGTTCAAAATAGTGTTTACAAGGTGTATATTCTCTTCCTACAATCCCCAGCACGCCAGAAACAGAGTGGGGATGCCTGCGCCGTGAGCCAATCCGGTTCTTCTATACTGCAGTCTAACATATTTCAGGCTGGAAAGGTAGAGACCTTTACAGTAAAGAGATGCTTATTTATAGTCCAATGTGCAGGATGAACGCAGGGAGGTTACACAGGAAGTCAAAGAACCGCAGGCTTTAATAGCAGTGTCGCCCTTTTGACTATATCATGCGGCAGGGGTGTGTGAATGACAAGAGTGGCAGAAAGGAATCACAAATAGGAGGCAAAACTCCTAGCTGCTGATGTTACCGCAAACATGAACAAATTCATTTAGGGATTGGCTAACAGTCATTCCTGGCACTGTCCCTGTGTACCCAGCTGCCTGTTAGTCACATTGCTATTGGCTGCGGCCATCTTTATATTCCGAGTGTGGCCATGCATGTGAAAATGCAGCCTGTGTGTCCCCAGGTTCCTAACTCAAACACGCAATGTGGATGTCCCTGAAAGCTTGAAGTGCAGATTATGTCTATCTCCCCTAGAATGGAGGGAGGGTGGAGTTGGCTTCTTTAGATTGCAGGGAGGGGTGTCTGCTTTAACTAGGAAAGCTTGATCTAGGACACACATCCCAGCCTTCTGATTGGACCGAGAGGAAGTAGCAGGGATTCAGGGTCTCTCCTTTAAGCATGCTCACAATGGCAGAAGGAAAGCACATGTGTGTATGGCAGCAGAACCTTATTCGATCACAGTGCTGCAGGCCCCCCCCTCCTTTTATATGGCATTACAGGAAACAACAGAATTATACATTTAGGCAACATTCCAGTCCCATTTAAAATACATTTCATCATTGTTTTATGAACACATATCTGCATCCACTAGGGTTTTATATCTGCCCTGCGTTCAGCTTTAATCTCCACCTTTTACTGTAAAGAACAAAGTCAATAAGTATCACAGCACACCTGTGGCGACATCCTTTCTTGTGACCGAGATGGACACGGGCATCAAACAGCGTCTTCACAGAGAGGAGCTCCTTCACGTTAAAGAAGTCGGGGTGCTTCAGGGGCTCTGATATAAGCCAATTCTCAAAATCTAGAAACCAGGAAACAGAGACAGGAAATTCAATAAACTGAGCAATATCCGGAAAGAGAGAATGTAGGAGCTCGTACTGCAGCGCTGGAGTTCTGGGTTCAGTTCCTGATTAGATTGGGCGCACTTCCTCCAGGGTCCTCAGCTTCCTGTCACAACCTGAAAACATACTGAGAGGGTAACCAGCTACCTTCTAAACTGACCCTACTGTGAGTAACTAGGACTGTGAAAGGACATTGCAGTGTGAGCTCCTTTGTTAGTTATCTGAATGGTCCATCTGCAAATGCTGCCAAATGTGAAACACAACATACATTAAAAAAAAACTTGTATATACAGTCCCCTGATTGGCGGTCCATCCCAAAGCAATCATTCAGTTTTTGGTGGAAAAAAAACACCTGCTGACATATATCTGGTCTACCAGTGGTGCAATCACCCTGCCATACACTCCCATCCCCTTCCCCACACACATACCTTTGTGCTGCATTAAAAAATACAACAACCCAGCAGGGATGGTGGGAGTCCCTCATGATAGATGTGCAAATCCCTGAGATAGAAAGAACTGTATGGTAACCTTAATTATGTAAATTAGGGACATTTCCTCATCGCTCCCAACTGAAATATATATGTATTTAGATAAGGAGTATAAGGCTCCATTAATACCTGCTGATCCTGCCAGTCCCCTTGTGTAGCAAGCCCTTCCTGACCATGCTAAGCAAATCTGAGGTCAGTTTGTGTCCTTGCTTCCTTCCTGAGACGTACAGGATGCATTGCTCAGGCACAGCATGCCTGTAGGCTTTCCCCTTCCTCTATGACAGGGATGTCCAAACTGCGGCCCTCCAGCTGTGGTGGAACTACGAATCCCATGAAGCATCTCTCTCCAGCTTGATTGACAGGAGCTCCCGCCAGGAGCCGCTGCACGTTCAATATAGCAATCGCCACCCCTATGGCACGGAGCTCATAGAGGAAGGGGGAATAGTGGTCATGTGACTACCCCTTACAAAAGATTTGAAAAAGGTATTTGCATTATATTTTCAATCTTATTAAAGTGGATCATTTCCTATAGCGTTCCTGACAGCCATCAGGTTTTCTAAACAAAAAGGGTTTATGACTACTATAACTCTCCAATATCCACCATACACTCTAAACCATCAGTGTTAAGTGGAGTGACCGCCATCTCACCTTTGATGCTCGTCTCTTTCGTCTGTTCCGCTGCAACCGGCTGGGATGTGGTGTACAACCTGCTGCATGGCAGTAGAGGAGTTCGAACTGGTAAATATGTCGCCTGCCAACAAAGTCTTGGCAACCCTGGCAGAAAAAAAAAGGATACACTGAAATGCAGAATGGATGGCATTTTATGCACATTCACCATTAACATTCGAAGCAATTACATTATGTAATTGCTTATGATATTAAGTGTGAATGTGCATAATATGCCATCCATTATTTGCAGCCGTGGATGGCATATTATGAACGGTCACAATTGGAAAGAAATACTTTGTAAATAATAGTTGTTTTCTCGCTCATCCCGGTGTGTGCGCAAGTGCAGATGGTGAGGTCGGCAAATTCAACTGGGTCGGCATTCTCGACAGAACACCAGCATGTGACAGCTGCACTGGCTTTTAGTATTGGTTAGAGAATAATTAACTCTCCCGAAATGTCTCCTTTAATACCTCTGCCTTCTCAAACCCCCGCGCCATCTTTTTTTGATGCGCTAAAGATGAAGCCCTATAGATGCATTATATAGGGACTCTGTTGTGTATAATATAATAATTTGCTAGTTTCACAAGCTGCAGATTGACACTGAATGCTGAGTCCTGTGCTGGACCTATAAGAACATCAGGGAAGTTGAAGCAGAAAATGAGAACCATTGCCAGGGACATGATGTATGCATTCACATAGCACATTACACCCCAGTGCAGACCAGAACAGATTAAATCCCCCGATTGGAGATGTGTGTATACAGCCCTGAGGATCGCCCTGCCAGGCACATGAGGAGCTGAGAGTCTCCATTACCCGCTAACACTCACCAGCCTTCAGCAACCCAGACACTGCACAGGAAGCCATGCTGTCTCCTGGAAGGTCAACGCTACAGCTTCCTCTGTGTAGTGTTTCCTGTCTCAGCCGCACAGAACTCCAGCGCCACCTGCTGGACCATCTGCTAATTGCTACACCGGGTATTACCGGCACTATAACCATGACATGATCCCATTCACATAAATATTTTATATCCAAGTCATAATTATTTTTTAGTAGCTGCATCTATATAGAAAACAACTTTAAGGGCAATATCCAAAGTGATGATTTGCCATTGATTATTGTTTTTATCTTATCTGGCTGGATGTTAACAAAAAATCTGTTCATAAAGTCCACCACTCACACTACTGCCATCATCACATTGTTAGATTTCGGATATATAAATGAACGGAGTAGTTAGAACTAAGAGGTTTGACCAACCAAGCTCTTCTGCACGAGCGCCAGCATTAAATACAATGAAGTATGAAAATGAACTAGGATCACACTAATCCAGCACGTTATTAATCTCAGGTGCCCCACTCAAGCGGCGGCCATATTTAGTGGAGCACCCGAGATTAATAACGTGCTGGATTGGTGTGATCCTACTTCATTTTCATACTTCATTGCTTCGGTGTATGTGTATAGGGCAATGCCTCAGCTGGCGCTTCTGCAGAAGAGCCTTCTTGGTCAAACCTTAGTTCTAACTAAACCGGAAGTCAGGCAGTTGGAGAACTCGATAAATTAGAACTTTAGATAGAACACCAGTGTGCTGGTCAGTTTCATTATCACTGCACTTCCTGTTGGAAGCATTTGAATGGAAGCTGATACTTTGTTGCCATCTAGTGGTTTCCTGGCAACGGTTTCCAGGGATTCCTGATATACAGCAACAAGAAGCTTTAGTAGTGACTGTGCTCCACTTCTGAGCCACATCCAGGGATCAGAGAGACAGATGGCTGACAATCCCTCTCCGCACATATCATCGGAGAGTCAGGAGAAATCCTACCCCCAAACCAGCGACTTTTATCGGGTGCAGTCGGACTTACCTGCCAAGTTTAATCACCCGGAGACATGGAGAGAAGGATACAGGTATTTTTCTCTCCCAATAACTACATTTTAACAGTGAATGTGGTTTTCATCCCTGAAACTTCATTCCTTAAAATAGAACAACATTTTTATTCAACATTGGTCACATGTCTGATGGCATTATTGGGTGGTAAAGAAAGATCTTTCATTTGGAAGGCTACTAGTGTATGGCCAGCTTAATTTACAGTTACCTGAACTGAATCAGATGTAGCTGCCATGTATTCATTTTATGTAGCCAGCTACTGATTATTTAGGTGGCTTAAAGGATTGCTCCAACTAGAATTAGTATTTAAAGGAGAACAATGAGGTGAGTGATTTACACTCATCCCCATAGTTCGAGCCGACGTGTGACATTTAAACTGTCACACGTCGGCTCTATTGATCGGGAAGTGAGCGAGCACATACCGTCGGCCGCTGACTTCCTGATCCTCTCCTTGCACAGAGTGGTGACTGTCACTCACAGCTCGGCGCAGGGATCCTCCAGCGCTGACTGGGGGGACAAACGGTGAGGGGGGCAGGCACAGCTGGCTCTGCCTCCAGATTGGCAGAGCTAGCTGTCAATCAGCCAGCTGGGTGGATCTCGACAGTATTGCTGGGATCCGTCCCGTCTGTGCCGCTCTCAGTATATAGTGGGAAATAGCCTGCTATATACTGAGCTTTGGGTCACGGGAGGACATTAGTATATGTCTTCCCGTGACCCTAAAGAGAACTATGGGATAAAAAGGTTACCCCATAGTTCTCTTTTAAGCATGTCATGGATGCTGGATAGTAAGCCTCACTTTAACCATTTTTTAGTTTTAGGTCATAATGGGCAAGAATCTGCCAGATTTTCTGTCTCTCACTCGATTGCAGAGAACATCTCTTCCTGCCTTTGATACCCATGCAAATAGTGAGGAATGTGGTTGTCACTGCCATAGGAAGTCACAGCCAGCAATAAGAACATTGTCAGAAGTTCTACCCCTCCCTCATGCCTCTTCCCAACAAATGTGTTTTGTCTGTGTGACCGCTGTTAAGATCTATCACTTAGTGAAGCAAGTAAGTTGCGCTCCGAGCGCAACTTACTTGCTTCACTATATATTCACTCTTTAAAATAGTTGCAGCTGGTCCTATTAGTTATTTAGACAGCCATACCTAGCGCAGTGATTCCTGAATGACCAAGATCTATCACTTGTTTGCCTTCCCCTTACACTCACGCTGAGGTTGAACTTGATGGTGCTGTGTCAATTTTCACCCTTATCTATTCTGTAACTTCCTGTACTGACACAAAGTGACGGGAAACTTCACCATCGGGTCAGAGACCCGAACCCTTCCTCACTCAAAAAATGAAATAAAACATTTTGCTTGAAGTTGGGCTTGAATTAAATCCCAGACTGTTCATTCCATCTCCTGGGGACTCTTTTGGTGAGATCTGGGTCAGCACACCTGATGTCCGCCATCTTTGCTGGATTTTATATTTATTTGATGCCAGGGAGCACTGCACGGGAGAGGAGGGGACCCGGCGGCACACCTTATCCCACCAGATGAACGTCCCCTCCGTTTTGTGCCGGCGTCCCTCGCTGAGATGGCCGCTGGCAGTTAAGTGTGCGTGATGTCATTATGCCCGTGTGATGACGTCCCAGCGGGTGACACCCAGCCTGGGGATGCTTCTGTTTTATGCTATGGAGGATGTAACAGGCATAGTTGAAACACAACCAAGGTGGATGAAAACACCCAAAGCTCTCAGGTGGACAGAGCTGGGAATTATAGTAGGGAGCTCTCCCCAATGGAATCCATAAACAATACAAGAAGTCAGCAGAGACCCTGCCTAGCAGACCCCGCCCATTACTCACCCATCTCATTTTTAGAGAATGACCCTTACTTTTTTAGTGACCTGTTTCACAATAAAAAAAAAAACAAGTTATATAATCTAGTTTAAAAAATATAACAAGGTGGGACTTGGTGGGAGTAACTAGCTCAGGCATACGGCTAGAGCAGCAGTTTTATTATGTTGGTCCCTGAGACCCCTTTCACATTATGCGATCAGGAGGAGATCCATTCATCTGGTGATTGAGGAAAAATGACCGGACCCCATGTCGGTCTATGGGGAATTGGATGTAAATGCACATGTGTCCGTTTATATCAGATTAACCCCAATACGGCGTGATCAGGTCCAGCAAAATAGAACACTGTTCCATTTATTTTTGCAGACTTGGCTGGAGCCGAGGGCAACTGGATGCAAAAAGACACCCGTCCGTCCATAGACTTACAATGGACATCAAATTGTGTCCGCCTGAAAAAATGGCTGGCAGATTTGATCGGGACCGCCCGTCTAAGGGGGCCAGTATTATGTCCCATATGGTAAATAAATATCTTGTCATAAAAACAGACCTGGTCTAATCATTCTTTATCTTCTGGATCTTTTTCAGAACCAAACCCGGCAACCCTCTGTACAGGACCACAAATCAAACGTATGGGAGTAAGCCACCCACTGTCCATGAGATGCCGGTAAGATGCACTTGGTGGGCAGGAAGAAAGAAACCCCTATGTAGTAGCATGTTAGACCAGCTTTAAATAACAGCAGGTCCATATCACAGAACTCCACATGTATTCGGTATAGTCCCAGTGTGGAAGAAACTCTCTCAGAGAGAACTATTAAGGCTGTCATTGCTGACCTCATGCTGAAAATGCTATTTTCCAGGCTGTCAATGGCTTCAATGCTTTGAGACACAGACCTGGAAAACGCATGCAGACAGTGGCGGACCTAGGGAACAATGGGCCCTGGTGCAAGATTTTTTTTTGACCCCCCGGCTCTTACAATGCCGGCCATGCCCACCTATAGCCGTTACCATTCTGCATTACTGTATAGAGGACTACAACTCCCAGCAATACGCTCTACAAAAATGCATAATGGTAACCGATATAGAGAACTACAATTCCCAGCACTACTCTAAAGAAATGCGTAATGGCTATAGGGGACTACAATTCCCAGCAATACTCTAAAGAAATGCATAATGGTAATGGCTATAGGGGACTACAACTTCCAGCAATACTCTCTAAAGAAACGTATAATGGTAATGGCTATAGGGGACTACAACTTCCAGCAATACTCTCTACAAAAATTCAGAATAGTAACGGCTATAGGGAACTACAGAACTACAACTCCCAGCAATACTCTCTACATAAATGCAGAATAATTCCATCAGTTATAGAGGACTACAAAACATATCACAGAACTTAGGCACATACAGAAGATAAAAGTATCACCTCATCTCCTCCTCCGCGGCAGGAACACCATGTAGCTGGGAGAGGCGGCAGGCTTTGTAATCAGGAAGCTGCGGGGTAAGCGGTAGTTCCGCCCCTGCATGCAGATGCATATTTGTTTCCAGATCAGTGACTCAGAAAGTACTGGAGCCATGAGATGATCGTGACTAGCACTTGTAGAGCAATGGCAGCCTATAAATTCTCTTAGTTTCTTTTAAAGCGGTTGTCACTGTGTTGCAGGGTTGGTGGGAGCTTCTTTCCAAGCCAGAGTAAAAATGCATCCTAAAATCTGTCATTGCACTGAACTTGGAACCATCGCTGGAGGAGATGGCATTTTTCCAACCATCATCATCCCAGTGCTATGTCCCAGTCCAGTAAGAATGTGTCCTGCGGTGTACCATTGAGAAGAAAGGTGCATTGCTTTGTGGTCAACTGGAGACAAGATATAAAAGTGGAGATCATAACCAACATACAGGTCAGACCATTGTTAGACACATCTGGCTGTGAGAGTATTGTATAGTAGCTGCTCTTCCATTAGAAGGACATGAAATACATAAAACCAATATCTATATGGATTTACCAGCAGACCAGAGCTCTTCTGTGATATGTGTATCAGCTCTATATTATAGTTGTATATACACTACCGGTCAAAAGTTTTAGAACACACTTCCATTTTTCCACTTTTTCTTCATGTTTCTGCCGTTTATTGTCTCAATATGTTGTTCAAATTTTAAATCATTGTTCCAGTATGAGCTCTGCTGTACAGTGCACTGTAAGAAGCCGATACTAGATCACATTTGGGCACTTACACTGCTTGTATTTGAAAAATACATTTAGGGACCATTTACACGTTACATTTATTTTAAATAACACCCCGATGCTCTATGGCAATGTGTGGTAGTGTGTTGCTTTACCAAAAATGGTGCATGCCTAATTTTCAGTATGTTAGGGTGCATTGGCAGTCTATACATTTCAATGAGCTATCTTAACGCAACGTACATTAACGCATACCATACTACAACATTTTCATGGGCCCTTAATGATGTGGTACTAAATAGAGATCTCCATGAAATTATGTCTTTTATACCCGCCAGGGGTTCAGCTTAACCTCCCTGGCGGTATGATTATGTCAGGAATTTTGTACCAAAAGCGGTACAATTTTTTGCATGGAAATTTGTTGTTTATATTGTAGGCCTGTAATTCTTATATTACATTCTCAAACCTTTTTTCAATGAATCCAGATCAAACAAATAAACATTGACCAGGAAAGTATTTACATTTTTACCCAAACACTTACAGTCATCATGTTTCTCAACAACTGGATCCAACTCTCTCAGCTCCGCTTCCCTGAACCTCCTGTTCAGTACAAGATTGGAAGGGACAGGACAGTCTCCAGCAGATGTCCATCTACTAGCTTGGAGAAGTAGGAAGAAAAGAGGAGCAGGGGGAAGGGGATTGTCTTGCCTTGTGGTTCCTATGATTCTGGAGACACATACATCTTACTAGCACACACAAGGGTGGCTCCAACTCAGTGGCGTCACAAGGGGGGTGCGGACCGCACCTGGGTGACAACAAAATGACTGACAGTCATTTTGGTGTCACCCTCCTCTGAAAAGTCGGGCGCTCGGCCACGGACCGAGTATACACGGACAGTGTCAGGAGAGGAGGGGACCCGGCGGCATACCTTATCCCGCCGGGTGACTGTCCCCTCCTCTCTCTGCCGGCCTCCAGCAGGTATCAGAAGATTGCCGCGCGTGCGCAGTGACGTCTCGGCGACACCCGGTAACCGCTCTGGGTGGCCCTGCTCCAATTGACCCTGTAAGGGAGAGAAGCCACCCTAAAACAGGATATCAGGAGCAGTGCTCAGAAGACCAGCTCATTCTACAGGAACTAAAACTTTTAAACATCAAGGAGCAGCATCCATTGTAAGTGATTTCATCAACTTTTGAAATAGCTTAAAACATTTTCACTTTTAAGTTGTGCTTGAATCTGTTGCCCTGCCTGTATTGGCACCCACTGTTTTATGAAAGTAGTGATTTCAGAGTTTGCAAGTGCCTTTTGATGGTTAGAAAACTGTACTCAATGACACTTTGGCTTTCATTGCAATTTCAAAGACCTTAACTTTTGAAATGAAAACGCACACAGCAGCCAACCTGCATAGTAAAAAGTAAATACATTTGTAAAACTAATGCTGCAAGTACTTTAGTAAAAAAAAAAAAAAGTCTTCCCTGTCTGGGTAGCTGCTGAATGGGGGTGTGGCCAGTAAACAGATCACGAAGGTACAGGCACGCCGTGCTCTGGTGTGGTGTCCTGTATCTGAAGTGGGAAACACACTGACCATGCCAGCAGAGATCTGCTTCCATGCTTGGCCTGGTCAGATTGCTAAAGCAAATGAGAAGTATTGGCAGGATCACCAGGTATGTATAAGCAAAAGGAGAAAGAAAAGAGCCCACAGCTACACATATCTAGACAGTCCCATTTATGTGATAATTTTAGGGGTAACATAGACTTTAATGATGGCCTGTTGTCTTCTTTGTTTATAATGAGAGCTAGTACTTTCTACAGTGCCATAATATAAATAATACTTTAGAGGGTGTAGTAACACAGTTTGTTCTAACGCTGCTTTTATACAGAATGTTTGTAATGAAAAGTCGTGGAAGCTGTAGGAAATGTTGGCATCAACATTCAAGATCCATTTTATTTCCATTGCTGCAGAAAAGCTCTAAGATATTAACCCATTACTGGTTCCCTGAAAGAGGCCTTTGTATAACAGAATTGGACATTCCTTTCCAGTATTTCATAACCTAAACTTTGTTCATGTTTGTTTTGGCGAAGCTGCAAAAATTGAAATCCAGTATATTTGATGTTTTTTTTCTGCTTCTAGACAAAGTTTAAAGGAGGTTCCAATAAGTTTTCAGACGCGGCTACAAAATGCGGCATGTACAGAAACAATGGATTCAACACGCATATAGAAAAAAGTTTTGTGACGGGGCCAGACAATCAAATCACCTACCACGACAGACTGAATTTTCACCGGAGTTATAACATCAGTGGACCCTCACAGTCATCGTGATTGGCATTCTTCTGACATAACTCTACTGCCTGGGCTGTGGCATGAAATAAACAAATATCTTGATTCCTGCATCTGTGAAGGACTTTTTTCCTGTATGTTAGATGGTGATTCATAAAATGTCTAAATGATATTTCAGTTATATGTGTATTTCTCTGGCTTCTTTTGGGAACTCTAGGAGTGCGATCTCCTTGCCAAAGTCCATGCCATTGTTCATGTTCACCTTGTGGTGTTGTAATTTCTCCATAATAAAAAATACATACACAACCTGCAGGGAGGGTGAGGGTTCCTCATAATGCCCACAGCAGGTGTGCACACCCGGGAACTAAGAGTCCCCAAGCATGTAGAGCTCACCAATAGGGCCCCTGAGAGATAGATGAAATTGTCAGGGGGGTTCAAATGCCACAAATATCAGTTCTGGGTGACACAATAAAGCAATGACTAAAATTAGAATAAACTGAAACTTTATTATGCAAAACATACAGAGGAGAGGATACTGTGTATGCCTCCACTACAATGTGAATGCTCAGACACAACTTTCCTGAGCCACAAAAGAACATTCTCATATTAACAAAACATCCAGCTTGTGAGCTAGAAATGAAAGGCCAAATGAGGGCTTGTTCACACCAAGCGCGGAGCAGATCCAGAGCAGAGCAGGTCCAGATCGGATCAAAACTGCGTCCAATGTATTCCTATGGTATTTTGAGCTCCAGTTCACATCGCAGCGTGCAGATCCAGAGCAGGTGAAAAAACTGCGGCAAGCCCTATTTTACCTGCTCTGGAACGCATCAAAAACGCAAGCAAGTGCTTGAAAGCCCATGTTAAACTTAAAACATTTTTTTTTTTTTAAACAAAAGCGGCCCGGAACGCATCAAAAACGCGGCACAACCCACTGCACTGCGTGTGCAGAAACCTGACCGGATCTGCTCTGCATTTGGTGTGAACAAGGCCTGAATAGTATTATCACCCTGAGCATCCCGTCAGATGCTTCCACTTACCTGGAATATGAATTCCTCCACTTGTATGTGGCATCATTTTTATATGAATGGAACTGACATTACATCAACTAATGAACACAAGCTACACAAGTGGTTGCACTTATTGTACAGTGATTTACCGCAATCACTATATGAAAAAGCTAACACGAGGAACTCCAAACTACAGGGCCGCCAATAATCCACAATCAGACTCAGCTATCAAAGTGGCTAATAAACAGTAAAGCCCGTGACACACTGCATGCAAAGCTGTGTGGAGCAATGCAAAACTGTGAGGCACCGATGTTCGCATGCAGTGTGTGAGCTGAGTGCAGCCAGATGAAAGACTGTATCTTCAACCAATCGGCTGCCGCATTACAAATGAATGGACTTCACATCGTTACGAGCGGGTTTATACCCACGAGCCGATTGGCTGAAAATTTTATTTTTCATCTCGGCACGCTCAGCTATACGAGCTCTCGCAAGCTGACGCACCGGAGTGAAAAATTACATGGCACTGCAAGCGAAGGTCCGCGCACCACTGATCCAGGCTGCTTAACGTACACTGTGTCGCAGGCTTAAGATGTAGAATGTCTGCCTAAAGCTTTCTAGCTACACGGGCCGTCGTCACAGAATCATGATTTATCACTGATGAGATGTTAAAGAAGAGAAGAACCTGTCAGGCTGGCTGTTATTGGCTCCTATTGGTTAATTCCCAGAAGTGGTGCCAGTTCCAGGCAGGGTGTGTCACTGCGCATGATGCTATGGAGGTGATCTCTGCCAGCAACTAGTACTGTATCCAATAGTTGGGAATTAACAGAAGTGCTTGTGAGGCAGAAGCTGGGAACTTCAGTTGTGCTAGATAATGGTTGTCCTGACAGGTTTCTCTTTAACTTGTCCAAGAGCTGCAAACACAACCTTGCAACAACCCGATTCAAATCAATTACAGTTTGGAATATAAAAGCCGGAAATTGAAAGCCTGCTGTAGCGGCAACTGTACTGTTGTAATAAATTAATTCCAATAATGTCTCTATGAATAGTGGTGGTGGAACGCGTGAGTGGCTATAGGATCGTTGTGGGATGATTTGACTGTGTACTTGGCTGGTATGAATTTTCAATAAATCTGGTTTATAATCTGTCGGATGTGCGGCTATACATTGGAATTTCTGGATTTTGTTACGCCAGCACGTATGTTTGCAGCCTGCATCTGATTGATGTGACTGGTTGGGTCAGTGTTGTCCGACTTTGGAGATTAAGCAGTGTATACTTTGAAATTAAATGAATTCCAATGTTAACCACAGCTCTTAGCTGCCATAAGGTTTAGCTCATAAGCTTCACTTTTTATGAGATGGTCTGCAATGAATGGTCTGCATGGAGATCACAGACTTCCTGTCATCTGACTCTGGAGAAGAGCAAGCACGTGCACTAAATATGGGGAATGAAACAAACCAAATTATTGTCTGACAGATTGTGGTGAATAACTAATAAATATAAGTGATTTAAAATTGCATATCAGTCCTGCTGAAAGTTCACATCTGTATGAAAGATATTAACAATTACTAACCTAAGACACTCTCTTCTTTTCATTGTATCATACCAACACAACACTGGCATACTGAGATAAACAAAGATAAACTGTGACAACTATGGATATACCGATACTGGAATCGGTGCCGCTACCGAGTGTTTGGGAGAATACTCGTACTTGCCCAAATGCTCTGATACCGGAACTTAGGGTCAGAGGGGAATCTCCCCCTGACCAGCAGTGCAGAGGGAGCATGGAGCCGGCTTCCTATCCAATCAGGAAGCCAGGCAGTGGGCATTGGCCCGCCTCACTCATTGGCTAGGAAGCCGGCTTCACTTGCTGCTAGGCAGCCTGGCTTTGTAACCAGTCAGGAAGCCGGGCGGCACATCATGATCTGCCTCCCGGCTTCCTGATTGGTCAGGAAGCCAGGCTGCCTAGCAACAAGCAAAGCTGGCATCCTAGCCAATCAGAAAGCAGGGGTGTGGGTCATGACATGCTGTCCAGCGTCTTGATTGGCTAGGAAGCCAGCTTCACTTGTTGCTAGGCAGCCTGGCTTCCTGACCAATCAGGAAGCCAGGCAGTCTCGGGAAGTGAAGCCGGTGTTCTTTTGATAGAACACCGGCTTCCCAGGTGGTGGGTCATGATCCACCGCCTGGCTTCCTGATAATCGGGGCACACAGCACCGGTTTTTGGTATCGACAAGTACCGGAGAAAAAAAAGATCGGTACTCGTACTCTATACCGAAATTCCGTTATCAGTGCATCCCTAGTAACAACATCTCTGACACTGGCATTATTACATGTTGCAGCTCATCAAATATTGGCAGAGCTCTCTGCAATGAAACATAATGGTTTCAGGAATTGATATCCTCGGTCATGAACCAGTTTTAATGATTTCTCTTTGCTGCAATAGATATTTTTCTGAAGTTAAAACGTATTGAATGTTGAAACTTTTTTTTCCTAGTTTAGTGGGAGAATGGTTAGTCGGGTTAATACGGCTGTGTGCCACTGCTGGGGAGATTCATCTTCTCTGTATGTCCTGGTGAACATTGATCCCCGGTCAAAAAGTGAAAAGAAAATCCAACAGTTTAGTTTTCATCAGAATAGGAAGTGAGGGGAATCTTACAGGGAAGGCACCTGTTCCGATGACAACTAAAATGGATTTCCACTAGCTTCCAGAAACTAATTGCAAAAAAAAAAACAATTTTACAGTTGACACTGAGACAGAAAGTAAACTTTCCCCAATGAAACACAGAGAAAAAAAGAAAAGAACGTGTCACGAGAATTAACCTTTCAATGCCATATCCAACAATAAAAGAACATTTTTTTTGGCTTTAGACACACATTGAGAAAATAGGATTGCAGAGAAAAGTGATGAAAGGGTTTACATCCTTCATGGGGAAAAAACACTGACAGGGGTATTCACAAAAGGGTGAAGAGTTTGGAGAAGACAGGAGAAGTGAACAATCTAGGACAACATAGCTGATATGGAAACATTCTCCAATTCAGCTCACTTTCCAGTTCAGCTATGTTGTCCTAGATTGTTCACTTCTCCTGCCTTCTCCAAACTCTTCACTCTTTTGTGCATAACCCTGTTAATGTTTAATGATAAACCACAAAATCTGGTGTTCCTCCAAACATTTGCAGTTCAATACATATGCCAACATGGATTAAATGAAGAGGTTTGCTGGATACTTATAACTAGAAAAGTGAGGAATTGTGGGTAACGTCACCTGTCTAATGAAATCCAGAGAAGCAAAACTGAAACTGCTGCACATAGGCGGTGAAATATTGCCAGATACAAACAATTTACATAATTGGAAAACGTCCAAATGCATCATTTTCCTGCCTGAACATACGTGCAATCCTCTCATTGGCATCTTGCAGCACAAAATGAGCAATTATTTAAACATTTTTTAATTTATTGTCAACTCTGAGGTCCCCATGCAGAAAGGAGCTTTTCTCTGCATTTTCACCATAACGTGATCATTGCATGATGCAGGAACACATGTGGGAAAAGAGACAACTTGCATCAGATTCTCATAATCAGCAGGAATATTTGATGTAAATTGATTCTCCTGGAATAAAGAACAGAATTACATTGCACTCAAAAAGATATATACAGGAGTAACTACAGTGTTTTACAGCTTGATTTTGTTGTGGAGGTATATATGAGATTCTTTATACTGGGCATTTCCTTCTCTGAGCACTAACACATGCCAGATACTGCTATTGTTTTCCAGATGTTCAGCAAGACTCTACTAAGCATTGTAGTGAGCCAGACACCCCTACAGGTTCAATGAACATGCAAAAACACCTAGTTTATATTTTATAACTCACAAGGAGAGTAGGAACAAAACATTAAAACCCTTATAAAAGGTCTGCCAAACACTTCAAAACACCAAACGTTCTCATCAGTTCCAATAAATGTGCCTGTTACATTTGTCTATCCAAAGGATGATTAAGGCCTCATTCACACGACTAACAGCCGGCCCGTACAGATCCATGCTGCATGCACGGCTTTATCTGGCCGCTCCCGGGAAG